ACCAGCGTGGTGAAGTATGGTTAAAAAAAATCCGCAATGGCTGACGTGGTGCGGGGACTTAAACCACCTCGGATTGACAAAGGGGCTCTAGATTGTGTATTGTCGGTAATTGCACAGTGTATAACAAAGACAGGTAATTTATTTAAAGGAGTATTGTTTGCCAATTTGTAAAACAAGTGTGCACAGTTGGAGAGCACATGGGCAACACCTGAAATGTTGGCAATCGCCCTCATTGGACTTGTCTCCCCAATTGCTCCTCTCTCCAGCTGCCATCAGAGTAGAATGCCTCGCTGACACCATAAAAAAACCGTTCTTCAGCCTCAAAAAAATGTTGTCAGCGTAATACAGGAGGTGCTCGCTATCTCTTTTGCACTTTCTAGCATTTTTCGTGCTTTGCGTGAGATATGTAACCCGCACCCAATCAATTCACTAATTAGATGCAAACGAAATAAAACACGTGTTTGTAGTTACACAGCTTCCTGTCGATTGCTTTTGTTTCACCTGTAGGAGCATGCACGAGGCAAATCCATGTTGTTATCCATTATCCCACATTCATAAGAGGAGTTACTCAGGATTAATGTTTTCATGTGGATATGTAGCACTGGGGCTATTCATCAATTAACATAGAAATACAACTTTTTTTGCGGTCAGTTACTCGGACCCTTTTAAAAATGACATTGCCCCCACATACTGCCTCCTGAAGGCTGGAAACCCCCCCCCCCAAACAAGCCACCAACCCCAGCCCATTACTTCCTGTCTATAGATCAGCACGTGGGAAGAATGGTACGCGATTAGTCGGCTAACTTAACCAATCATCAGGTAATCTATTTGTGTATTTAAACAACTGGATGGCCCAATTCTCAAGCCAATGCCCACGTACAAAAAAAACACAGTACTGTACAGTGTGTAATCCTACAATTCCACATTCTACGCATTGACAAGTTGGTTGCTTCAAGGGTGTTGGCTTGGAGGGAGGGTAAGCCGTTTGCTAATGCCTGTGCTGACAATACGAAAAAAATTAACATTCAAACACGTCCCAACAACTCTGGAAAAGCACAATGAATATGGATGCTGCCATGGTGTTAATAATGGTCAGCACACTGGCCTTGCAATCCAACGTTTAAACAACGGGACCGACCAACCCTTGCAAGACTACTGGGTCAGTGTGGAAGAGTAGGCCAAAAATACGATCTCGAAGGGCTCTCTTAGAGCTCCCTCGCGTGGAGTTCCTCCTACCAACAGTGGTGGTGTACGAGTGAATTCAATGAGCTCAACCTCGTAGTTTTTCGCTATCAAGGCTCGTGTTGTTGTTGAAAGCGGCCCGGGTGTTTTTTTTATAATTCTCCATTTGTGCTTCTGGAATGTGCCGATGTGCCTCTCTGTCTGTGGAAAGTAAACAAATTAAACTTGCTGTTTGCATCGAGACCCATGTAAGTCAAGATTGTAACTAAAGATATGTACTGTGTACCATATTATCGCTGAAATCTCGTGCAATATTAAAGTCTAAAAATAGAGTAAACAATGCCTGAGCAGATACCGCACATTATATAAACTTGTAACACCACTATGGCAGACTGGCGATGAGATGGCAGGAAGAAATCGAGATACGGCCACGAGGTCTCCGTAGTTACCCGTTGTTTAACGCTAATAAGTTCGACTCTAGATTGCTTTCAGGATAAAACTTAGGTGACACGGTCCAAATGGACACTCGTACAATTGCACATGTCTACAATGCACCCATGTATTGAATACAGCATTTTAAAAGTACATGCCACATGGGGAACACAATGATGGAAACTCATGTGATGTATACATAAGTGATAAAAAAAAATAATTGTTCAAAGCACGAATTTTCTACAATTGCGTACAGCAACGGAGTGCAATTTCACAAACAGCATAAAGCCCTTCAGCTGAATGTTGGTGCTGTTAGCGAGCACCTATGAAGGCCGGCAGGGCACACGAGGGGGGTGTGAGTGAGCAGCCCCACGGCCAGCCCGCCTTTGTCTCCCCAGGGCTGACGTTTATGCGTGTAGCTTGAACTTCTTTCGCACCGTACGTACACATCGGTGCTATTGGGAGGTGCCCATCAGGTTACTCGTTTAAGGTTGAGTCCTCGGCCCGGTTCAGACAAATCGTGACAAACAGCATGGTGTCCCCCCCCCACACACACACAGAGAGACCTACAGTACTACACAAGCACTGGCACACACCAAGGACAAGTCGACTGCATCCAACATTCTCTGCTAAGTCACCGTGACGTCACCACAGTGTCAGGCTAGGTGCACTGTGTGTGCACAGGTTCTGCCCTGTGTAAACAAACAAAACCCAGCAAGTTTAACCCTTTAAATGGGGGCAACCCCCTCTTGTGAACCTACCGTGGGACGGGGATGAGGGCCCCCCACAACGCCCAGCGGATTGTGTGTGTGTGTGGGGGGGGTTATTTGACCATACTTCACCACGCTGGCCAGCATGGGTTGGCAGGCGCACGCAGACCCGTGTCTAAACCGTGAGGGTGCACACGTGTCCTGTGGACTTGTATGGGACACACACAAGTACACATAGCACGCGTGCTTAAAAGCATTGTACATCAACAGCCTTAGTGCCAGGCTAGGTGCACTTGAAGGTCACGCGTTCTGGCGACAGCTTGCTACATACGCACATCTGATGGACACGCTTATGTAGATGTGTACGCGATTACACAAGCAAAGACACACACAAAGCAGACATGCTGTACATACACATTAAAGCACATGGACATACACCACACACACACACGTGTAAACACACGTGTACAGTACGGTATATTAAAAACGCACCACACAAGAAAACGAATCCACGTGTAGCCTGTAACAACAGACTGTATGGGCAAGCACTGTACTGTTTGTGAGTGGCAACATCTGTGAAGGCCGGCACGGTATACGAGGGGCTTGTGAGTGGGACGGCATCCACGCCCGACTGCCTTTGTCTCCCCCCCCCCCCCCCCCCCCCAAGTGGCGATGTTTGCAGTACTAATTTTGAGGCCGAGCTGACCTAAATGGGGAAGGCCTCCCCACTCCACCCCCCCAGATGGAAATCCCCGGCTGGTGGTGGCCACGGGCAGTAATTGAACTCGGGTGGCCGAGTTGGGTGGCACAGACACACACACAGACACACATACACACAGACACACACAAAGACACACAGACACAAATACACGCAAAGATACACAGACACACAAAGATACACATACACACACAAACACACGCAAAGATACACACACACACACACAAATATACACATACAGACACACAAATATACACATACAGATACACACACAGATATACACATACAGATACACACACAGAGACACACACACAGACACACACGGAGACACACACACAGACACACACACGTGAATTGTACGCACAACGTACACAAACAACTCCGGTATTGTTCTCAAGAGAAACACCCGATTAGCATACCGTGAACCCCTAATTAGTAGTGCCCTACCTTAGACCAATCCAGACCTTATTGGTCACCCCCGTGCCCCTTATAAAATCCTACAAAGTCCCATCGCAAGGGAGAGAAACACAACACAAACCCACAACGTGTTTTTTTGTTAATTGAAACGCCTGTGCGCCATGTGGCTCTGAAAACTCAATGTACCTCCTGTACAAGAATTCGTGGTATAAACCCGCACGGGTCGACAGGGTATGATGGCGATGATGTTGGTGGTGGGGGTCTTCTTTTTCTTCCGGTTTGTCGTCCACCACAAACTCTCACATCAACAAGAGATCAACCCAAACGTGGCCATACATCCCACCGCAGGACCCTCCTCGTGACAATTAAAAGAGTCTTGAGACTCTGCGAGGCGTCCCACCACCACCACCAAAATCAACAAGCACCGAGAAAGTTGCCATCATCTTGGAGGTAATTAAAACCAAAAACCCACAAATCCCAGACGTATCACGCGATGTTTCACGATTATGCAACGGGGCACAAAAACACATCTGGGGGCTTTAAAACGTGGCCCACCCCCAGCACCGGACCAGAGGGCAACACTGGGGGCATTAGAACGGGTGGCAACCCTCACCACCACCAATCACATCCAGTAAGATAAACTATCCAGTAAGATAAACTATCCAGTAGCATAGTAACATAGTTACTGGATAGTCATCATCAGCAGTAACAGCAGCATCGCCATCACGCACAGAGACGTGATTATTGTGTATCATCAACCACCGCCAGCATCCGCACCATCACACACAGTCATCACCATCACACACAGTTATTACCATCACACAGTCATTACCATCACACACAGGCATCATCATCACACAGTCATAACCATCATCATCACCATCATCATCACACACAGTCATCACCATCATCACACAGTCATCACCATCATCAAACACAGTCATCACCACCATCACAGTCATTATACCATCACCACCACCACCATCACACAGTCATTACCATCACCACCACACACAGTCATTACCATCATCATCATCGCCGCCTGTACCATCATCACCACTATCACACACAGTCATAGGCATCACCACCTTCATCACCGCCTGTAACATAATCACCATCACACACAGTCATAGGCATTACCATTATCACCACCACCATCATCACCGCCTGTACCATCATCATCACCATCACAGTCATAGGCATCACCATTATCACCACCACCATCATCACCGCCTGTACCATCATCACCACCAACACACACAGTCATAGGCATCACCATTATCACCACCACCATCATCACCGCCTGTACCATCATCACCACCATCACACACAGTCATAGGCATCACCATTATCACCACCACCATCACACACAGTCATAGGCATCACCACCATCACCATCATCACCATCACACACAGTCATTGGCATCACCATCATCACCATCACACACTTGAACGTGTGTGCGTCCCCTATTAAAACTAGAGAAGCGCGCATCGCGGCGATGGCTACGGGGCAAAAACCACGGCGCGTCTTTGTCTCTCACCTCTCTTTACTATCAAACACCGGGTCGGCCATGGACTCTGTGGGCTCTCCTCGTCTTTGGCGAATCCCGGGAGGAGGTTGACGATGAGGAGGAAGAGATTGAGGAGGAGGTTGACGATGACGATGAGGTCACTGCTTGACGTCTCTGCTCGGAGGCTCCGGGCCGTGCGCCGTGTACATTTACCATCCGTGTCGTGCCCACCGATCTCTCACTTCGTCAACAACAACAACATCGACACCATCAACATCATCACCCCGTGCACGACAGCTGCTCGTGATGGTGGTGGTGGTGCTGTGTGCCACAGGCTACTTGGTAACACGCGCGGAGTGCGAGTGATGCGTGGCGGGTGGAGGAGGGTTCAGCAGCAGCAGCAGCGTGAGTCGCTCTCGCTGTGCGCGTGGTGGGGGTGGGGGCAGATCACCCCCTCTTTATGGGGTGGGGGTGGTGGGGGGGTTGGAGGTGGGGGGGGTTGGAGGTGGGGGGGGGTTGGTGTTGGTGGGGGTTGGAGGTGGGGTTGAAGGTGGGGGGGGTTGGAGGTGGAGGGGTTGGAGGTGGGGGGGTTGGTAGTGGGGGTGGTGGGGGGTGGTGGTGGGGGGTTGTTGGTGGGGGGTGGTAGTGGGGGGTGGTAGTGGGGAGTTGGTGGTGGGGGGTGGTGGTGGTGGGGGGTGGTAGTGGGGGGTTGGTGGTGGGGGGTTGGTGGTGGGGGGTGGTAGTGGGGGTGGTAGTGGGGAGTTGGTGGTGGGGGGTGGTGGTGGGGGGTGGGGGTGGGGGCAGATCACCCCCTCTTTATGGGGTGGGGGTGGTGGGGGGGTTGGAGGTGGGGAGGGTTGGAGGTGGGGGGGGTTGGTGTTGGTGGGGGGGGTTGGAGGTGGGGGTTGGAGGTGGGGGGGGGTTGGTGTTGGTGGGGGGGGGGGGTTGGAGGTGGGGTTGAAGGTGGGGGGGGTTGGAGGTGGAGGGGTTGGAGGTGGGGGGGTTGGTAGTGGGGGTGGTGGGGGGTGGTGGTGGGGGGTTGTTGGTGGGGGGTGGTAGTGGGGGGTGGTAGTGGGGAGTTGGTGGTGGGGGGTGGTGGTGGTGGGGGGTGGTAGTGGGGGGTTGGTGGTGGGGGGTTGGTGGTGGGGGGTGGTAGTGGGGGTGGTAGTGGGGAGTTGGTGGTGGGGGGTGGTGGTGGGGGGTGGGGGTGGGGGCAGATCACCCCCTCTTTATGGGGTGGGGGTGGTGGGGGGGTTGGAGGTGGGGAGGGTTGGAGGTGGGGGGGGTTGGTGTTGGTGGGGGGGGTTGGAGGTGGGGGTTGGAGGTGGGGGGGGGGTTGGTGTTGGTGGGGGGGGGGTTGGAGGTGGGGTTGAAGGTGGGGGGGGGGTTGGAGGTGGAGGGGTTGGAGGTGGGGGGGTTGGTAGTTGGGGTGGTGGGGGGTGGTGGTGGGGGGTTGTTGGTGGGGGGTGGTAGTGGGGGGTGGTAGTGGGGAGTTGGTGGTGGGGGGTGGTGGTGGTGGGGGGTGGTAGTGGGGGGTTGGTGGTGGGGGGTTGGTGGTGGGGGGTGGTAGTGGGGGTGGTAGTGGGGAGTTGGTGGTGGGGGGTGGTGGTGGGGGGTGGTAGTGGGGGGTGGTGGTGGGGGTGGTGGTGGGGGGTGGTAGGTGGTAGTAGTGGGGGGTTGGGGGTGGGGGGTGGTAGTGGGGTGTGCGCGTTCTTCCTCCCGTGACGCACACGCGAAGGGCCGCATCATCACCACCACCACCATCATCACCACCATCATCATCACCATCATATTCGTCAACACACCACGCACACAAAGACAAAGCTGCCCCGTGTAAGACAACGCGAGGCTGTTGGGCCAAGTGTCCGCTGGCGTTGTTACGAAGGCAGACAGACGCGTTTGTGATTGCTACACACCAAAGACACGCCGCCGTATAGCCCTGAGCAGTGGGTTTAGGATAGTAACCACGTCCGGCCACCTTTGTTACTCATCCAGTGGCGATGTTTACACGCCGGGGTACTCATTTGATTGAGGCTGAGTGGACCTAGGGGGGTGGGGGCAGGACCGGTTCAGATATAATCGTCATTGGTGGCGACTTTGGCCTTGATCGGGAATCGAACTCGAGGTGCCGGGTTTGCGGCGCAGCGATAACCCGCTACACGACCGCCCCCCCAATACATATTGTACATACACACGTCACGATATTGATCAATATTGATATCACACACACATATACTGTACAGTATGCATAGGAACATGACAGACAGACGTCACAGGCATATCATGCACGCACAAGCACAACACACACACCATCATCACACGCATTCCATCCTGAGCTGTATGCAGTGAAGGACTTAATGGGGAACAGAGGTACTGCATGTTCCGAATGGAATCTTTTTTTTTAAACCATGCACATACTACGCTGTTGGCTTTCTGATTTTCTTGCTCTTGTTTTTAGCTTGAATAAGCCCGCTTTACGTTTCTGATATTGATCGCAATTCCATTGAACTTATGGGCAAAAAAACTGAACACATTCACCAATAACATCGTTGCCTTAAAAGGGGAAAGAAAAGATGAATCGACGTTTCTAGAAAAGGACCTTCTTCATAGCGCATAAATGTTGAGTGTGTTTATTTGTGCTTGTACCCCACTGACAACATAGTATCACAAATTAAACGTGTTCATTGAGGCTTCCTCTTGTTGCAATGCAGACCTGGATTACACAAACATGTGATTGATTTTTTGTGAAATGTTTTTTTGTTTACGTGGGTAAAAAAACATTCAACCTTAAGCTGATTTACAAGAATGATGAAAGGTCAGTCACAACCCCATCCAAAGCGTTACATAATACGAGAAGGACAATGATTAATAACGCTTAAGCATCAACATTTGAAGATCATTTAAAGACTTCAACAGTGGAACTCCTCTTATCGACGATGATGTTGGGGATGGACATTGCAGATCCCAATATCCGTGATGTTATTCCGTGAATTTACTATTGTTCACAAAAAACACAATATGATGAATAATATGACTTTGCCAATGAACTCTATTCATTTGGTAAAATCGCAGATAATAGACAGAATAGGGGCAATGGATATTGGAATGTATGTAGACAACATAGGTCCAGCGTATAAAAGTTGTCAGAAAATAGGTTGTAGATAAAATAGTTTATGCTGTGCATACTATTACAGAAAAAATACTGTAATGCATAGCTCCAAAGCACTTGAAATTAAGCAACGTGTTCAATTTCCCATTGAAAATTGTCCCAGAAAGAATGCCTTTAAACTTAATAGAAATGCCATATTGTTCCAGTTATCAAGGAATCCATGACAGAAAGAAGATAAAAAAACAACTAAATTAAATCACGACGTTTCGGAGGCAACACAAGCTACCTCCGTGACTTTACCGAAAAAACCAAAGAGTATGAATCCTTGCAGTCACAAAAACTTCAAATCTAGAACATAAAGAAGAGTTTCCACATTTCAGAAAGTATTAACTTTGCAGACAATAAGAGTAATTTTTAAGCATGCAATCTTTTTTCAAGTAATTTTTTCCCAATGTCATTTATGTACTCAGTTAATTGCCCCGGAGTCTCTGAGACTCTTTTCAAGTGGGTCATGCATTGTAACGTTGGCCATCTATTTCATCAACTTGAGTACCCAGAGAAACCCTGTAACGTGGAGACGGGGATGATATTTGTCCGTCCAGATGGGTTAACAGATTTACTTTCTGTATTGCCTGCTGGCCATCTGGCAGCCCAGCAGGTTTGAGCGTTTTCTCAAATAACAGGACCCTGCGGGGTGGGCTGGTAGGAATAATACTTAGTACCGGTACAGAGATATCGACCAGGTATAGAGGAGTTAAAGAAAAAATTACTGTATTCTAGTGTAACGTTAATTAAAAGTGTTTGTTTTGACAAGAAACGCTGTGAGATTTAAAGACTCGTAGTCTTTCATTTCCAACACCACCCTCAACACCACCCCTCCCACGGACGGACGGACGGACGGACGGACGGACACATGAATCTATTGGTGGTCTGGTCCACTTCGTTCCTACCAGTATAAGTGTGAGCCACTAACCCCCTCGCCTCCAAAGCACTGCACCACAGGCATGCACCACCCAAAGATGCCAGATAACAAATACAAATGATGCCTCCTTTAAAACAATTATGCCACTCAACGCAATGTCTTATATTTTTGTCCTTTTAAAAACAGGACCCTGCGGGGTGGGCTGGTAGGAATAATACTTAGTACCGGTACAGATATATCGACCGGGTATAGAGGAGTTAAAGAAAAAAATACTGTATTCTAGTGTAACGTTAATTAAAAGTGTTTGTTTTGACAAGAAACGCTGTGAGATTTAAAGACTCGTAGTCTTTCATTTCCAACACCACCCTCAACACCACCCCTCCCACGGACGGACGGACGGACGGACGGACGGACACATGAATCTATTGGTGGTCTGGTCCACTTCGTTCCTACCAGTATAAGTGTGAGCCACTAACCCCCTCGCCTCCAAAGCACTGCACCACAGGCATGCACCACCCAAAGATGCCAGATAACAAATACAAATGATGCCTCCTTTAAAACAATTATGCCACTCAACGCAATGTCTTATATTTTTGTCCTTTTAAAAACAGGACCCTGCGGGGTGGGCTGGTAGGAATAATACTTAGTACCGGTACAGATATATCGACCGGGTATAGAGGAGTTAAAGAAAAAAATACTGTATTCTAGTGTAACGTTAATTAAAAGTGTTTGTTTTGACAAGAAACGCTGTGAGATTTAAAGACTCGTAGTCTTTCATTTCCAACACCACCCTCAACACCACCCCTCCCACGGACGGACGGACGGACACATTAATCTATTGGTGGTCTGGTTCATTTCGTTCCTACCAGTATAAGCACATAAGGATGCAGTGAATGATAAGGATTTTTCTATTCATATAATTTGAGTAGCCTAATGTTTCATGTACAATATTTGGAAACATATTCTTGGAAGTTGCGTTATGTAATGTTCTGTAGGATTACAATATATAATTATTTTTCCGTTACATTATTTGAAACAGATATCGTGAAACAAAGTACAGTATCGTAGTCAACGATGGTGTTCACAATAGTGTATGCTGTTCAAATTACAATTAATAGGCGAGACGGTGCAAATGGCTTTCTTGTAATCGTTGAAGTTTATTAACGTAATACATTCTAAACATTAGTTTTATTCTCCCGGGGCA